CCCCCCCCCCCCCCCCCCCCGGGTCCCGTGGAAAAGCATGTAATATTTTGTATTGTGAGTTTGGCAATATACCATATTTTATATTTTCTTGTATCAGGCTGAGCTGAGAGTTATTTTTAAACGATAGTTTATAGAAACCACCAATGTATATTCCTCCTGAGAGAGAGACATTGTGCCATAGACAGGATAACTGGTAGATTCTTGTGTAAACATATTTAAACCCCGTAACTTTTATCAGAAGGAATTGATGAATGCTTCTGTTACTGAAAAGTATGCATGTAAAGTAGCTCCATGGTAGAGGGTCTTTCTTGGACTGTTGAATTGGATGGTAAGAAATTCTGTTTTGCTATGAACTGGAAGATACAGTACTGTGATTGCAAAAGCTTGTCATTGAATCCTTTTGAGCTAGCTGAATTCATTTCACCTAATTGGTCACATTTATGTTAAATCCATTTCATCCTTTTCTGTTTAATTGCTCTAATAATACTGACTTATGAGAACAATTTTGAAGCTTCTTAATATGAAATGCTCTTCTTCTCCTCTTTCTTTATCACTCCTAGTCCCAAATAATCTCTTATAACTTTGTTCTTAAAAACACTTAGTCTCTGATATTCCTTGAACATGAGAAACCAAGTTTTGCACTCACATATAATAACAGGTAAAATAATAATTTTATGTATTTTGGTCTGGGCCATGTGTTTAAATACTGGTGTGGTCTAAAAATAAGCAAACAGTGCAATAAAACTAGAGTTGACACACATCCTCTTGTGGGCCATGAAGCTCAAAAATCAGTAGTTCAGATAATTGTACATCACTATATACTAAAATGTGTTTGTGTCATGTTATATAAAAGTAAACCATAATTATACTGTGTTGTAAATAAAGACACTCGGTGATATGAACTAGCTTTAGTGAAAGGGTGCCCAGCATAGGTATCCCTTTTCTTTCCATCAATATGGAATCAGAACCAGCGGTTTATAGTTTATTCTATTGGCTTACATTGCATGTACAGTAAATCATTATGACCCAGACTTAACAAAAATTGACAGGGTAAGTTGCCACACATATGTAATCTGTGCCTTGTCTTCACATTCGGGAATCCATTATCATTTAATAGAGAACTGAAGTTTTAATCCCTTTTTAGGTATCCGGGCTCTTTTTTCTTACATAAATCGTCCCCATATGGTACTTTTTATTTGGACTTGAAGGACAGATTGTCTCAGTTATTAGTTTTCCTGGGATTTTCTTCATCATTCTGTGTTGTGAGAACAGTCACTTTGTTTGTGTGCACTTCAACACCAGTCTCCACTGATATTTTGGCAACAGCAGTTGGTTGCCATTTAAGCCACTGCTCTATGTTGAATGATACAATTTATTCTTGGCTTAAATTGAGATAAGTTCAACATTTTCTACAAGCTATAAACCTAGCTAAACTTGTCCAAGAATGAAAAATGCAATAGCCAGCTTTATATTATTGGATTTGTGCTAGTTTGATCAATCAGTATATTTATGTTGTCTATAGGAGCAGAAATTATAATTTGCAAGGAAAAAGTATTTGTGTGTGTGTGGGCACGCATGTGCGTGCGTGTATAGTTGCTTACAGAGTGTATTCAGATTAGATATGACTGAAACCATGTTCTATTATGTAGATGTTTACATGGCCTACTTATTCCTGTTAACATCTGCTTTAATGCAGTCTGTTAGACATGTGGTGTAGGTTTGGATTTAGTGAGAGCATTATGTCATATATCCCCTCCGTGAAGGGGAAGATGGAAGAGTGGGAATAGATAGTTGGTGAAGTCTATTTGTGTCTCAGACTGCCAAAGATTGAGGCTTGTGACAAGGTGCTATTGTACAGCTGAGCTAGTTCAGAAGCAAGAGAAGTGTAGAGCAGACCGTGAGTGTAGACAGAGTTTTGTTGTTGAATGGCATCACATCATCAAAGCAAAAGCAGTTCTGGATTTGTTCCTAGACGATCAAATCCCACTACAATCCGTTCAGCTGCTGGTGCTGGAAATACTTCTGGTCATACATATGGAAGTGGAAGGCCACGGAGTCTCAGCTTGTATAGCCCTTCTTCTTCATCCAGTGGTAGCAGTTATGGAGGACTCTTAAGTCTTCATTCTAGTATAGGAGGATATGGAAGTGATACTTCATATCTGGGAAATCATAGTGGTTATGGTAGCCCTCGTAGTTATGGCAATACATCTTCAGTATCTACATATGGGGGTACTGCATCTGGTTATGGTAGCCTGACTCTCCATCATGCACCATCTTCATCAAGCCTTGTGCTTTCATCATCACCTCGCAGTTCCTACTACAACAGTTTATTACAGACTCCAGTAAATCATGTTCATAATGGTAGTGGTGCTACCGGCAACAACAGCAGAACACCTTCAAGGAGCAGTAGTTTCAACAGGGCATTAATCAGTTCTCGGAACTCTCCATTGTCTTCAGCTCTTGGATCTCGATCAGGTTCACTCACATCACTTGCAAGTAGCACATGCAGTGGATCTGAAGGATACTTAGTAAGCTAATATACTGCCATTTATTTTGTTTATGTCTTGAAACTTCTGTATGAGAAACAACTGATTTAAAATGATGCATTGATAGTCATCGACACGTTAATTAACTCCATTGAGCAGCGTTCTTCTTCTGAAGTTGATGTCATTTGGTCAAGAATTTATCTAATTTTGTGGAACCCAAAAGCTTATTATTGTGTTCTCAAGAACCAGTTATGGGGGCTTACTTTGAACCAGTTGAAACTATTCCACATCTTCACATCCTGTTTCTCTAAGGTTCGTTTTAATATCACCTCCCATCTGCACCTGTCTTCTCTTGGGTTTGCAAACTTAAATTTTTGTATGCTTTTCTCATTTTCCCCATTTCCCACCCATCTCATCCTCATTGATTTGGTCACACTAATAATACTAGCTGAAGAATGCAAATTGTGAAGCTGTTAACTATGTAATTTTCTTTGTCTTCATTTCTTCCTGTGTCTTAGGTCCAGATATTCTCTTTAGAGTTAAATTTATAAAATAATTTTTGCATTGTCACATTGTTAAGAAGTGGAATGCCTGAACTTCAGCTTGAGATGTAATGTAATTGAAAGACAGACTGAAACAACATAGAAGTAATTCAGTATATCTGTAAAGGTACAGTGAAATCCATAGCATCCTCCAGCTAAGGTAGAATGTTAATTATTTTAAATGAGATTCTGTTTCTATGAAATCTAGAAAGTCAAAGTGTCATGTAGAAGTACTATTTTGTTTTGTTTTGCTATTATATGACTAAAATCTATTTTAGCATCTTTGAATGTACTTGGCTTGTAATCAGGTTGGTTAACACCAAATATATGGCATTGCTGTTAACCAAAAGCCAAAGTTATACATTAATAAAGACAGTTTCAACCATCAGAACTAGCTGAATTTGTTCTTAAAGTTAACTTAACTAGCAAGGCATGAAATAATTACTGTTCAGAATCCTTGTTGTTGCTTTCCTAAGTACTGTAATATATGCTTGCATTTGTCATTTAATATAGTACCAGGATTTAACTGTAACTCATTAGTAACAAAAGAATGCCATTTTCCTCTGACCTTTCCTAAGATGTGTCCATTTGTGACAGGTAACTAAGTCTACCTTGTTGAGTTAATCCACAACAAAACCTGTTTGTTCCAGAGTGGTGGTGATCTATCTAGCCATTCCTTACGCCTCAGCCGTGTTTCATCTCTTGCTGGAGATGACATTCAAGTGAATTTAGCCAAAGATGGCAGTGAAAATGGTGAAGTGGATTATAAGAAGGTAAGCGCTATAATCCAATGTACAGATATTTGAAACAAAGTAATGGCAGTATAGCAGATATATGAAAAAAATTATTGGTATCTGAAGGCAATTATAATCCTTCAGCATTGTTCCTGCCCATGTATTTGCCATCTTCCTATGCCTCTGGAAGGTGACATGCCTTCAGCAGACTTGTTTTTCTTCATGTCTGCAAGATATCATCCCGTTTTTTGTATGAAATTTAAGGTTCTTCTGGTAGTGAAAATGTCAGTTAAGGTATTCTTGGTGGTTACCAGTGTTTGAGAGAAACATAGATGATAGAGCTTATA